TTGGAGGTTTTCCACAACCGTTACTTGGCGCTTTGCATGCCTCACGGCGCGAAGCCTTTGGCCCGAGAGGCCCCTTTTTTGTGTTCGGGGGCGGCTCGCGCCATGGCTCGATGGGGCCTTTTCGCGATGGGCCTTCTTTGGTCCACGGGCCCCATCGATGGCTGGTGGCAGGCGGTTGAGGAGGAGGCGACAAACCCTCCCAACGCCTCTTGCTGGGATCACCCAGTCAGCTGCCTCCAACGGCAGGTGAATGCCACGGTGGCTGCTGCCCAGGCGCAGTACTCCACCCTGACGACCTGGGACATGTCCCAGCCTAGCCTGGACGCTCCTGGACACGTTGTTGTCGGGCGTGGGCTGGTTGGTATTTGGCCAGAGCTGGGCCAGCGTGCGGACTGGGTGCTCAATGATCCTGAGGATCGCGCTGCTGATGGTGGTTTGCGTTGGGCTCCACTACTTCCTATCGTTAGCCTGGCCGCTCTGCTCCTTGGTGATCGGGACCATCCTGACCGCGGTCCATGGTCTTTCAGTAATCGTGCAGATGCGCTCTTGTTGCAGAGCAAAGGCACAGAGATGCTCAGTTCCAACACCTTGTAGGTCAGTTTGGAAGCCAAACATAGATCGATACCAGGAAGATGACTGTAAGGGTTGTCGAATGCGTAGGGACTCTCCTCCGTGCTTGAAGAGGAGGATCTCGAGTGTATCCTGCAACCGCAGCAGATACAGGTGTTTGGCTCGACTGGGTCCAAGATACCTTATGTGGACCGGTTGATGGACCAGCCAACAAATGATAAAGCCCGTATCAGCAGTTTTGATTGCGCTTAAAAGCCGTCGAAGGAACAGGATAATTCTATGGTAAGAACGATGATGTAGCAGTTCTTGCCGGTAAGTGCTGAGGGTAGCAGTGTGTGCAGAGAGAGAGCATAAGGCCTGCACAATTTCTTCGTCAACAAAGATCCATTGCGGCACTGCTGCTTGCTCGGCACAGTCGAAAAGGTTAATATCTGTTAAGGGCTGTATCAAGGGCTCTTTGCCTAAGATATCAAGTCGTTTTTCTCTTCTGTCCTTGTTGATGTTATCAACTGCCTCCTTTGTAAGGTAATGCGGTAGTTTCTGTGCTACTATGGGTTGTGCAACAGAGGGTTTGTTGGCAGGCGCCATTACGAGTTGTCGGTAGTTGATATGTCGATAAGGTTCATGAACAATTGTGACTTGGGCGTTTCTGCCTTTCAGTTTGAGATTGTCTTCAATGGCTTGTTTGAAAGTAATGTAACCCTTCCTGACTTCATCAGGTGAGGCTACTCCACAGAAGCATTCTGTTTTTCCTTGAATCCATGCGCGAATATGCTCTGATGTGCCAATGGCAAGACTGATTAGCTTAGGATGAAAGGAGTTACCGACAAAGGAGCGTATGGTTTGCGAATGTAACGTATGTTTGAGGCGTGAAATATTTGCAAAGTTGCGGCTAAGGCCTGAAACTTGCAAAACTTCACTGTCAGTTAGAAACCGAAAGGGAACTTGTATGCTGCTGTTGTGGAAGAGCGGAAGGACATCTCGGAGTGCTGCATCTTTTTCTGGATTGGAAGAGGTTTTGCTATAGAAGCAGCTAAGGAAGCGTCTCCATGCTGGGTAGTAAATAGCAGGGATAAAGTCACTCCATTGAAAGGCAGGCACAGAGCTGTCCGTAAACATATTGGCTAAGACTGCAAAACGCTCGTGTGTATGCCAATATGAAATTCTCCATAGCAGGGCTGCCGGGTGGTAACTGGTCCAACTATAACGGAGGGCGACATCACTTAGGACCTCAAGGGGCCTCAAGGGTTTGATGAAAACATCACGGAACTTCCCTTTGTCATGTATTGCAAGTGGTTTCCAATCATCAGGCCAGCGGAGATCATCATGACACAAAGCTTGTGAATCAATTGTATCATGGAGGAGATTGTTTTGAAAGAATAGCCGTAAGCGCTTTGCAGGCGAGATTTTAGAAGTGCACCATGTCATCTTGTCTCTAGTGATATGCGAGAGACCAAGGCAGGCTCTAATGAAACTAAAATGGTCATAGTGCATGGAGCCTGCGTTTTCAATGAGAAAACGGATATGTGTTTTTGGAAGGACTGTACCCAAAAGGTAGAGAGCTAGGTGCATTGTGAAAAAGAAGACACTGTCAGGACCACAGATACCTAATCGACCATGTTCTTGACCTGCATATGTGAGATCTGTACAGGGACTGCCTCCAATGACAAAGACGTGACAATAATCACTAAGGGTGACCAACTCTCGTAAGATTCTTGCTTTGTCATCAAAGATGAGATCAACGTCATTTGCATAGAAAAACATTCCTCCTTTGAGACTGTGTATCCACTGAGCATTTACGGAGATTCCATGCTTTTCAGCAACCAAATATCTGAGCGTTTCATCTCTTTCACATAACAAACAAACTTTGGGGCGATAGCCAAACTTCTCAATAAGAATGTCTAAGGACGAGCCACACCCATCGAACATGCTCAGGACAGCATATGGTGGCTTAGAATCTGTGCTTTGCATAGGGTGGTCGATGGGAGAGTCAGGCGTGGAGGCACTTTCAGCTTGCGAAGATTGCGATAAGGATGCTTCAATTGCTACAAGTTGTTCAGCTGGAATAGTAGCATCATTAGGGGGCGGCGGACAAAGTTTCTCTGGAATGTAAGCAGCTTGAAGCTCGCTTGAATTGAGAGGAGCTGGGCCAACAATATCTTTCCGGGCACCAACGTCAAGGGCTCTTTTGGTGGTAAGCCTTCTTTTGGGGGTGCGTGCTTCACGTTGCCCAAATTTGTTCTTAGCAAGCTTGGTGAGTTTGCCTTGTACTGGAATGGGAGCCTTTCTGAGGGGTCGAGTGTGGCACCATGTGCTCGAAATAGTAGCAACACGGTATAGAATGCCACAAACCCGATCTCCTGCTTTGAGTTGTGACATGCACACCTGGCACAAGCCATTAGAGTTGTCATATTTCAGAATGGCAGAGTTAGTGGTTTCATGCTCCAACAAATAGAAATGCTCACACAGTTGCTGCTCCCCATTTAATGGGTCAGGACCTTGATGAATGATCAGGGCAATACACTGCCATGTTTGTCCACTTGAATGGAAAGTGTCTTTATTAAGGAAGCGCTCATAATCTGTTGCAAGCGGCTGGTCATTTCGTACATATTGAAGCCATACAAGTCGACAGGGCGAGCTAGTTCGAGTGGCCCAATCAAAGTTGCTAGCGCATTCTTGACATGCGTCCTTGCTATTATCAGATTCAACTGGCAAAAGGTGCTCCGACCATGGGAAAGCAGCTTCAAAGTAGACCACATGTAGTAAAAGCCCAGCTGGCGGATAGTCCCTGAGGTGACAGGAGCGACCTTCATCGGACCGGACACTGGCGAGATCCCCGAGACGGCCGACCTCCGCAAGATGAAGAAGGGCGCGAACGAAGATCGGTGGGTCCTCCTCAAGCGGGATGGTTATGTGGTCATCATTAAGGTCACCGAGAATGCCGCGATTAAGTCGAGTGGCATGTACCTGAGTTTTGACCCTGAGGCAACTAGAGGTGACGCCCAATTGTTGCTGGCCTTGAAGGGCTACGAGCGGGTGCATCTGTGCAGGCACGACACGTGCCCGGAAGAGGGCCAGCATTTCAAGAGCTACGCCTTGGCCCGCCAACTCAACCCACAGCGCTTCCATCTCATCTCTACAGCGGCTGGGGCCCAGAAGACAGGGACGAGGACGATGGGATGGCTTTTCTCCAAGGCCAACAAGACAGCCAAGCGGCTGAAGGACTATGCATCGGAGTCTGAGCGGGAGGAGACCGGCTCGTGCTGCGCCCACTTGGTCAAATGGGAGGGCGAAGCAGGTCGAGTTTGCCTCAGTGAGCATCCATGCAAAGACCTCGCAACCACGGATGTCGAGCTGCTTGATGAGGACCGGAGTCAACTTCCGACGGACCAGGTGGCCGCGTTCTGCTCAGGTCATGCGGTCCGGTACCTGACCTCGAGGGCAACGGCGAAGTGCTCCTGGGCAGGTTGCCAACGGTTGGGGGCGGTCACCAAGCAAGGCATGCGACTATGTGGTGTTCACCAGGAACCTGCTCCTACTCCGACCAGACGCTCCTCGCGGTCGAGGTCAAGGGCTCGGGACCCACATCCGGGAGAAGAAGATGGTGATGAACGCGCCGAAGGAGAAGGTGATGAACGCACGAGGCGCAGGGGGCGAGTTCGGGAGGTCGCCTATCAGACCGAGGAGGCAGAGAACATCCTCCGTGAAGTTCGTGAGGAGAAGGAGGAGGAGCCTCCAGCTCTCAGGAGAAGGAGGGTCGCATCTCCCGGCCATACTCCCAAGTCATCGGTGCAGCACAGCCTGGCCAGGATGGGAATGATCAACTCGCCGGATCGCAGGGCGGACATGACCTACTTGGAGGAGTTCATGGAACAGATGGCCTATGGGAGGGAGTTACAGCTCAGTGAGGAAGATATAAGGAAGCAACTGGCGGCTCAAGCTGGTTTGGCTGTGGGAGACCTCACCCGATACCTGTGTGAGCAGGCCATGGAGGAGCAACGGAAGGGCACCAAAGGGCTCACGAAGTTCCTGGCGAAATGGCGCCAGCAAGCGGCTGCTCGAGAGCGACCTTCGTCCCTCTCGGAATGGAGTGTGGTCGAGAAGGAGCGGGACGGAGCAGCACCTACACCGTCGAGTATGACCTCGGGGGCCCAGTCGGTAGTGAGCTCAGGCCCAGCTGAAACCCCTCCGAGAGACTGGCTTCGGTTCCCCCTCCCGGGATCTACGATCCAGACCGCAAGGCAGGGACTGGGCCGGAGGAGCGAGGAGGTCAGTCGGAGATGACCGACATCGCCAAAGCGATCCAACAGCAAACGAATGAGCTTGCAACGTTGGTCAAAGCCCAGCAGGAAACCACGACAGGGGCAGGAGGATCATTGAAGAGCCTCGGCAAGACCTCAGAAGAACTGGTATTTTTGCTGCGTGGGTGCGGCCAGTATACCGTGCAAGTCGGCAATGAAGAGTACGGGGCCCCCTTAGCGCAAGCGCTGCTCGCGGCTCAGGCTGGCTCCTCAACAAAGCTTCGGAGTGCAGGCTTCAGACAGAAGGTTACTTTCTCGGCTCGCCATCGGGATTGCCGGCCCATACTGGGGAACGCAGGAGAAGTATGCCCTAAGTGCTTCAGATTTTGTGCCCTGCACCGACGCGGAGCTGGACCAGTTCGCCATCGAGAGTAGAACAGGCAAGCCGACAAATGAGCAGAGGCCAACCGCACCCACTCGTTATGAGGACTGGCTCAACAGAGTGAAGCGACAAAATGACATCTGGGCCCTCGTGTACGGCATGGAGTGGAAGGCCGTGCGGGAGCGTGCCATCAACCTGTTGGGAGAGTGGCACGTCAGTGCACCGCACAAGTGGCCGCTGCAGGTCCTGCTCGATGTGTGGGAAGAGCTCCACTGGCGATTCCTCGAGGAGTTGAAGGAGGAGCTGAGGAAAATCAAGCGGTTGTCCGGGAGAGAGTCCATGACCTTGCAGGATTTGAAGTTCTATGCCCTCATGCCAGACGAAGAAGGGCGACCTCCTTTGAATCTTCCCCAAACGTTCGATCTACGACGTCCTGACGGATGGTTCATGTCAGAGGTGATGCCCCGCATTGAGAGGCGCCAGGAGAGGATGCTCTGGAAGATGACCTGGGAGGGTTCAGGGAAGAGTAGAGCCCAAGGACAACCTGCTGGTGGAGACGGAGGTTCCCGGGAGGAGAAGCCGACCTTGAAAACCCTGTTTGGGCCGAAGCTGACGGCGGAGGAGACGACCCGGGCCAAGGATCGAGCACCGACGAATAAGGAGGGCAAGCTGCTGTGTTGGGGATACTTGACCCACCTGGGCTGCTCTCAGCAGGGCTGTCAACGAGCTCATGAACCACTTCGCGGACCCTTTGAGGCTCTCGATCCGGCGGTGCAGCTCCAGATGCTTCGGAGAGGAGGCCTGAGGAGGATGAAGGCGGAGACGAAGGAGTCGGCCGCGGAGAAGATCAAGGAGATTCGAGCCGGGGTGGCAAAGGACAAAGCCGCCAAGGTGCAGGATGGCAAAGATCGTCGACGGGCCGCACAGGGAGACCCAGCCAAAGAAGGGGATGCCGAAGGTCCGGAGAAAGCAGGCGGCCAAGTCCATTGGGAAGCTCCGGAAGAGATGGTACAGGTGGACTACACCCAACAAGAGAAGGACTTTGCAGACTTGGTGGCGGGCCCCGATGCATCATTGTTTGAGCACGTGCCAAGGGATGCCAAACCCCATGCGGGCCGGAAGGGCTCCACTGCCCCCTCGGAGGCGCAGGATATGGTGAGAAAGGCTCAAGCTCTAGCATCGGGCCCAGTCCTGGGAAAACTCCAAGGGGCGTCAGATGATCTATATGCTTGGGCGTCGACAAGGGTGGCCAACGACCCGGAGATCGCCTTCGACGCGCTCATGGAGGAGATGGTCCAGTACGGCCTTGGGGAACTGGCCGCAGAGGCGGCAGCTTTACTGGAGGCCTATGGGCAGGGTCTGAAGGCAGGCCACCAAGCTCGATGTCAGCTGGAAGACACACGATGGGAAGGTGAGGGCCCAGGCAGATCCTTGGCTCACATCGATGGCGCCCCGTGGGCTCTGTGGGACTTCGGAGAGATGGTCCATATGACTGAGGAGCTGGCGGGTCTGCTGGGAGTAATCGAGCCAGAGAAGGAGAAGAGGCAGTGCGTCACGAAGGTGCTGGCGGCCGGACTTCATCTGGCACAACATGGGAAGGTCCCCGCAATGGACGAGGTCGAAAGAGCTACGCAGGAGTTCCGGCTGGAGCAAGCGAGGCTGGCAGTGGAGGCCGAGGGCGTGATGGGACATCCAGAGACTAAGGTCGCCCCAGTCGAGCACGAGCTGAGGATGTATGCCCATGACATCTTGAAGCCCCACCACGACAAGGACTATCGAGCTTTGGCCGTGTTTCCCTTGGCGGCGATGGAGGAAATACGTGTGGTTGTGGTGCGAGTGGACTACAAAGGCGACCTGCTGATTGAGACGGTGACGGGAAGCCAGTGGTCGACCTCGGATGTTTGGGTGATGATTTCAAAAGGACACATGACTTTGCTCCAGCCCCCTTCGCTAGAAGAAGGAAGAGCACTCTTGGAGAAGGAAGAGGTGTACAACACCCCATGTCTTGGGTTTCGGTATTTCTGGCATCAGCGGCGCGATCAAGCCAAAACGGCTCCCGGGATGATCTCTTGCCGACATTGTCGAAGCAGGGAGGGAGGGAGTGCCGAGGACACCGAGACTACGGGGTGCCTGAGGAAGACTACATGCCTCCCCGCCCTCTCACAGGTCTTTGCGGGAGGCTGTACACGAAGCTGGAGGTCACAAGGGCTTAGTGTTGCAGGAGTACTTTGCCGGCCATGGAGTCATCACCAAGGGTTGGCGAGCTGCGAACCAGACGGCTCTACATCCCATCGAGCTCTACGAGCAACCACATCAACAGCTTGGGCCCCGCCCGGAGCATGACTTGTCCGATCCTGTACGGCAAGAGTACTACCTCAACCGGCTCCGAGCTCGTGACTCTAACGTGCAGTGGATAGCCAGCCCGTGCACCACGTTTTGCGACTGGTGTCTGCAGAATGGAGGCACTCGCACCTTCCAGAACCCGGCGGGAAAACCCACCGCCAAGGAACAAGTTGGCAATGCTTTGTCGGAGTATGGAGCGAAGGTGTTTGAAGCATCGCTCCTGCAAGGTGGCTTCCCCGTGGCCGAGAGCTCGGGCACTTCGGGGCGATACCCGAAGCAATGGCATCTACCCCAATGGCGCCGGCTTTTGCAACGACCGGACGTCGACTTCATTGAGATCGACATGTGCGCCTTTGGGCTAGGGCCCCCGGACATGCCGGACCATTTCTACCGCCACAGGACTGGACTGGCCTTCCCGCATCATCCACCTTTGCGCCAAGCTCTGCTACGCCTGTGCCCTGGAGTCTCAGATAGCCATCAGCATATCGCACTCAAAGGCAATCGACCTGGGGTCAATGTGTCTCGCTGCACGGAAGCTGGAGTTTATGCGGACGCCTTCGTACGCACTGTGGTGGAGACTTTGGTTCACACCTTGGTGGGGGGGGGTCCAAACCACAACCTATGCTGTCGAAAACCGGGGGAAGGCACCCGTATGGCTGGAATGGGCGAGACTTCGTCTACGAGGAGGAGCCTGCGGAGCCGGAGGGTGGCCAGATTGAACCAGAAGAAGGCCAGAACGAGGTCGATGATCTTGGGCACCTAAACGAGCAGGAGCTGCAGCAGGTTGCGGGTATGGCGGTCGACGAGGCGCTGGGTGTGTGGAATGGTGTCGAGGTCAACAATCCTCACCGTGATGAACCGGATGGGGAAGAGTTCGAGGACGTCGAGGGTCAGGAGTGGGAGAACACTACGGAACCCGGGGGGCGGAGACGGACAGCGAGCCCAGGACTCGGATTGTGTGGCAGAACCTTGGCCAGCGCAATCGTATGGAGGTCGACGCGGAGAGGGGCTACGTATGGGTTCACACCAACGAGGCAAGGAATGACTTGGTGTTGCCAGAGGAGCTGCCCTACCCGTACTGGCCCCATCGGTTCCACAGTGAAAGGTACACCCGATGTGAGACGAGGGACCAGTGGGGTCGTCTGCAGGTGGCCGAGGTGTACGATGATTGGAGAGTCCAAGGGCGCGGCCAACCTCCCTTTGCACCATGGACGGGGGCAACTCTGTTTGTATTCGAAGATGGTCAAGTGCCCTGGGTTGAGGTTCCCGTTGATGAGTCAGGGGGTCCTGATGCTGGCGGAGGCGGAGGTCACCCGGGAGGAGGACAAGGTGGTTCGCAGTGGGACGGGAACTCTTGGAACTCCACCGACTGGCAAGGGTTGAACGACCGGGGACAGTGGCAAGGATGGAGTTCATGGTCATGGAGGGGCACCAGGGCTGGAGGCAGCAGCTGGGCCGACTTCGAGCAGGCTGGCATCTCTGGCAAGGCAGCGACAGCGGCGATGAGCTACATCCAGGAGGTCGACAAGATCCAGGGAAATGAGGCTCGAGCATGGCAGTCGATTCGGGAGCGAGGTGACATGCTTTTGGACCTCACGGGCACGGTCGAGAAGGCGGCCATCGCGCTGTGGGTGGCTCGGGAGCACCTGGGCCGCAACAACTTGCAAGGGGCAGATAGTGAGGAGCTCGACGGGCTTTTGCACCCTGACCACCTTGCCTATCTTCGGGAAGTTCGTGCTCAAGGGATGCCGGCTCGGTACCAAGGGCAGCGAGAAAGGGTGGCTACTCGCCCCCACCCGAGGGCCAGAGCGGACATGGGCCAGGTGTACATCCAACTAATAAAAAAAACATCGCCAAGCACAGGGTCTTGGTAGCGTCTGCGAACCACCCTGCTTTGAAGCATACAGTGTCGTCGCCCTTTGAGTTGGTTCCCAAGATGCTTCCGAATCGGTCGCTGTCCACAGAGGCCCGGCTGGTTCACGACCAGCGACAGGTCAACGGGGGAACCCACAAGGACCTTCATCCTCCCGCAGCTCAACCGACTCATGAGCAGATCGCTAGGCGGATCCTGTGGCTGAAGGCCAGGTACCCAGGGGTCAAAGTCGTGCTAGCGAAGAAGGACGTGGCTGGAGCATTCCGACTACTTTGGGTTGACCCGAGGGACGCCGAGCTGTTCGCAGGAGATGTCCCGTGGAAGCCGGAGTTGATGGGAACTGGTGGGGAGGCGCCTGACCTTCAAGACCTGGGGAACCTGACGGTCATCTATTTGGTCTCAAGCTTTGGATTCTCGGGTTCACCCGGCGAATGGACAGCATGGGGGCGGGCCACAGAGGAGGTGCACCGGAATCTTCGTCCAGTCGAGAGCAGGAGGGACGGGGAGTTGCATTTTTGTGGCAAGATCCTCGTCGATGACATGGTGTTGGTTGAACCGGTCATCGGGCTGAGACCATGGGTGTCCAGTGAGGTGTATGAGTGGGCAGTGACGCGACTCTTGGGGGAGAAGGCCATTAACAAGCTCAAGGACGCGGAGGAGGGCTGCTACAGCAATCAGCAGACCGTGTGGGGGCTGATCATCGACGCAGACACAGAAAAGATGTCTTTGCCGGAAGCCCGAATCCTCAAAGGGGCCTACTTGCTCGCCCAGCCGTGCTTCAACTACGGGGGGAAGACTCTTCCGCTGAAGGAGCTGCAAAGATTCAGAGGGGTCGCCAATGGTTGGAGTGCAGTGGTGACGGGACTCAAGAACGAGCTCCGGAGCGCAGATGTGTTCCTGGGAGGGGTCGACGGTGGCGCTGCGGTACGGCCAAGGCTGGTCCAGCCGGAAGGATCGAAAACCCGTGAGGATGAGGAGAGACAAAGCTGGGAGGCACTATGGGAGCTGTTTGAAGACTGCAGGTGGCTGTGTGCCAGGTCCGAGACATGGGCGACGAAGTTTGGGGGGGATATCAGGGAGCTCCTGCCCCCGTTGGACCGCTTGGCCCTGCCTGGACAACAAGGAGGAGGCCCCATCTTTGTATCTTCAGATGCAACGCCCAGCGTGGTCGCGGCTATTGACTGGACCAATGGGTTCGCCTGCAGGGAGGATGTGGAGGTCTTGAAGCCCTGGATCAGACAAGTCCTTGAGGCAGAAGGGCAAGAGGATGGCAGGTTGGCGATTCACCTGGGTGAGATGCTGAGCTTCGTGGCTTTCGCATGCCGGGTAGGCCATTTGTGGGAGGGGCGCATCGTGGTGTACGCCGGGGACAACAAGGTCGTTTACTTCTGGATCACCGGAAGGAAGAGTGGTGTGAGAGCAGGTCGGCTGTTGATCCGTGTCCTGAACCTAGTGGAGAAACGGCATAGATGTCGTATCCTAGGCGGGTGGTGGAGGACCTTTCACAATGAAGATGCCGACGCCCTGACCCGCTTAGAGGAGAAGGAGGCGGCGGAGCTCATGGTGAGGAAAGGTTGGGAGCGACTGGACATCAAGGAGAGCATCCATCACGCCTTGGAAGACACGGAGCGCTTCGGCGTATGCTTCTTGTCGTGGGCCGACCAGGAGGACCGGTTTGAGCTGATGAGGTTGAGGGAACTGAGGGTCTTCAGGACTATTTTGAGGCAACCGGCAGAGCTCAGGGAGATCGAGGTGATCGAGTGGACGCCGGGCCCCCGCTTCGTTAAGGACTTCGAGTACTTTTCCGGGGGCGGGCAGAACAAGGGGAGCAGGGTGATCGCCGCCACTATCGGGCCCGACCCGAAGGGCAAACGGGTCAACGAGTTCACAGCCTACCTCGACAGCGAGGTCTTCGATGTGGCCATCTTGGAGGGCCCCACCGAGGTGAAGTGGCTCTGCCTGGAGCGGTGGGCGATGAGTGTCGGGTGGACGTGCACCCTGCAGGAGTTCGTGACCTCCGAGCTGGGTGAGGCGATGGTGAGGAGGCGGGTAGCCGGCTTCGTCTTCCCGATGGAAAAGACGTCGGAAGCAGTGGAGTTCCTGATGATTAAGTCGGTCACCCCCCCCGCCATGGGATCCTACTTGAAAAAGGTTGAGGAGGGCAACTGCGTCTCGGTCAAGAAGTACGAGGGTGCGACCAATGTGGGCCAGGAGGTCATGTTGCCGGTGGTTGTGGCTCATGCGTGGACCACCGAGGAAGCGGACCGACAGAATGTCTATTCCTTGAGCGGGCCCTGTCGGTGGCCCCTAGCTGATCGGGCCGAGAAGGGCATGCAGCGCATCCTGGTGCAAGACAAGGCGGTGCCAGTTGGAAAGGTGAGGAGCCTGGCTGGTGAGGAGATTTGGGTCCTTCAGGGCAGACGCTTAGATGAATGGAAGGCCCTGGTTGGTCAAGTCGGCGAGAAGGAGGCTGAGCGAGAGGGGTGCAAGGCCACCGGCCGAAGGACAGCTTTGAGTCTTGTCAGCACAGCGGCGGAGCTCGCCAAGGAGGGACGGGAGAGCAAAGCTGGGATGTGTGTCGACAAGGAGGACTACAAGTCATTGAGCATCCTGCTGCAGTGGCTGAGGAGATGGCGACGAGGCGATTTCGGCCGAGCCTTACCAGATCGGAAGGCGGGAGGTCGAGGTGATGATCGAACCCATCCGGTGTGGTTTTGGGGCGAGGAGTTGTGGCTGGAAGCCATTGAAGAGTGCGATGGAACCTTCGGGGGGAGTGATGAACGGAGGTGTGGAGGTCGACGTAAGAAGGAGCTCAAGCCTGTCGAGGAGAATGGTGCGAAGTTCATCGACCTCAACCCCGACTTCAACCCCGACATGGAGATCCAGGCACAGGTGGAAGAGTGGCTCGAGGCTCACCTGGTAGGAGACAAGGCAGCGAGCGCGCAGAAGGCCTATGCGACAGCCTGGGGCAAGTGGTGCGATTGGAGCCGACGCCAAGGATGGTTGACGCCCTACCTCGACCACAAGGGTGACCCGATCCACAATGAGAATAAGGTCCTGGGTTACCTGGGTTATTTGGGCTGGCTGGGCACATCGGTGGCTACCATGAAGCAGGCGGTCTTCGCCATCAAGGATGCGCACAAACGCGCTGGCCACGGTGATACTACGGTCAAGATGCACCGGCTGTGGATCGTGCTCAATTCCCTGGAGAAGAACTCGGTGAAGAGGCCAAGACGGCTAGGGGTCACTGTGCAGATGTTGAAGTGGCTCGGCAAGCAGATGGCGTCTGGAGCTGAGACGGTCGGAGAGCTCAAGGTGGACTGCCGGATGGTGCATGCAGCGGTGGTCACGGCATGGTTCTTCATGCTTCGAGCTCGAGAATTCTCTGACTCCAGCGGGGTGGACCAGGAAATGATCGTGAGGGGCCAAGACATTTCGCTCACGACCCGTGGTCGCCCGGATGAGAATGACCCCCAGGAGGCGACCTTGCAGTTCCGCAAGACGAAGGCAGACCAAGAAGCCTTTGGGACGTGCAAAACCATGCTGAAGACGGAGGTCGAGTTCGTTTGCGTGGTCACCGCCCTTCACCGACTTCGCGAGGTGGCACCAAGACGATTTGGACAGGGCCCAGAAAGCCACATGCCTTTGTTCCGGTGGGCATCAGGCCCGGTCATCAAGCGGCTGGAGGTGCAGAATCTGCTGCAGAGGGCAGTGAGGGCGCTGGGCTTGCCGGCAGAGCGGTTCCAATCCCATTCTTTGAGGATTGGAGGGGCATCGGCGCTCTACCAGGCGACTGGGGAGATAGAGGTGGTCAAGAGGACCGGAAGATGGACGTCCTCGGCAGTGCAGCGCTACCTCCATGACTCGGGCGATGTCCTGTCGGGTCTGGCACGAAAGATGGCCAATGTGGACCAGCACGTGCACTACACGTAGATGACGAGGCTGGCACACTGCCGGATGCAGTGAAGTGGGGTGGTGGCTGGTTGCCATAGGCGACGAAGGATCGCTGGGCATGACATGCCACCAACTTCAGTGCGATGCGGCAAAAACGTGAGCCGGCAGCTATGCACTAAGT